AATCATTTTATTTACAAATTGGTATATCAATAAGTTATAAAAATTACATATTAAAAAACTACGTCAAAAGTTCTACAAAATAAGAGGTGACAAGAATATTTTATTTTATCAAATACTTGATGAAATCGCGTAAACAAACAAAAGTTATCGAGAGGAGAGAGAAAAAAAATTGTAATCAAATTGGGGACGGAGGGAGTATCTAATAAGAGTATATTTTTATATTTTTAAAAACATAAATTTTAAAATTAAAAAATTAAAAAAGTAAATTTTTGCTTAAAATAATATCACATTTCATTTATTTGCAGAAACAGACATTTTCAAAAATTTCTGTTAAGTGGCGTTAGTTTTTTACCGTGGTCCATGCGGAAATATAAATTTATTTTCGGTGAGAGTGAAAAGTAGAATTATTTATGAAAAAAATGTAAAAATGTGGGATTATTTAAGATAATTTTTCATTTTCTAAATTACTCTAATTTCTTCGCACATTCAACCATATCTTTTCAACCAACCAAACACATCCTCTATTGTCTCTTTTACGATGGCGTGAATATTTAACACGCTCGGATTCCAGTTGATTCCCCCAAAACTCAGAAACCGCTTAGATAGCTCCACCCGTAGGTGCGCCCCCGATCATTGATCGACTCCATACAAATTTAGATCTTTTCATTTGTTTGTTCATCTTTGATTTTGTGGATACCATTTTTCTGATAGTGCAGAATTGTTGAAATCGTTCAGAATGGAGGCGGCGGCGGCACTTCGATCTTCGGTTGGCATCTACCGCGGACCAGTCAATTCAGGCTTCTTCTCCACCCGTACTGCGCCAGATTTAGTTGGATTTGGATTCAAATCCTCCGTTTCTGCTCCTTGGATCAAAGTAAGCTTATCGTTCTTTTTTTTCCTCCTTTGAAATTGATAAATGTATTTGTGTGCTGATAAGTTTTGATACTGACAAATTAGGAAAAACCTATCAAAAGTTTTTTGTTAAACGGAACACAAGAGAATTCCTTGATATATTGGTGTAGCTCTCGTTTTACAGTGAAACTGTACAAATTAGGACTATTGTACGGAGTATATCGCATTCTTTGATATAATTCTTTTATCTCTGTGATAGAAGCCTGCCCACAATTGAATGATTAGCAGTGGCGAAGCCAAGAGTTCTATAGTGGGTTAGTGGGGGGGGGGGGG